GCCCTCCCAGGAGGCCACAAGGTCTAGAGATAAGGTGTTCCACCCACAGGGCAGAGGCAGCCAGCATCATACCCACTCAGACTGTCCTTCCCTGGGGCTTCGGCCTTGGGCCTTGGTCAGGCTCAGGCCTGCTGCTGCCTCCATGGCCACCCATTCTCAATGGGCACTCTGGCCCAGGCCTATCCCAGCTTTAGACCCAGGGAAGTGATCAGGGCTCAGGAGAGAGAAGAAAGGACAATGGAAAAGTTTCCACTCAAGGAGGCTTCCAGCTGTTAGTTCTGCCAGCAAAAAGCCAGACGAAGAGCTAAAGTGCCAGCAAAAGACATTTGGCGGAACTTTGGGGGCCATTAAGAACAGGGGCTGCAGAGCAATTGCAGTGAGAAGATATTAAATGAATTCATCATGTCTCCAAAATAAGTGTCCTTGTGCAGAGGTGGCGCTTTCTGTTCTCAGCCCTTCCCAGGGTAGCTCAGCCCCTACCTCTAAGGATTTGGGAAGGGTGCCACAGCCTGCAGTGGTCCCTGCACCTTAGCAGCTCATCTCAAGTTGCCAGGACCCTTTGGGCCATCAGGCAGGGTCCACCCGTGCCAGTTTGTGCCAGAGGGACAATCTCATGTAGTCCCATTGGCAGAGGCTGGCCCCACGGACCGGAACTCAAGAAGAAGAGCAGAGAAAGGGCTTGAGGCTGTAGACAGGGCAGCTTTCCACTGCAGAGGCCCAGGTTATCAGCAGGACAGAACAGCTCAGCAGCCGGTTAAAGGCCCTCCGGACTTTTCTTAAACACCTAAGTGGTCCCCAGACAGGGTAGGGTGTCTCTTTCTGGGATCCAAAGTGGATAAACTTATTTAATGGTTTAATAGTGGCAGCCTTTTGGAAGCATCTTGGGATTCTGCTCTGTGCCACTCCAAACTGGGCTCCATAGCTCCCTATGATGGCAGGGGGGCTCCTCTTGCTATGGATCAAGCAGATGTGTGGTCCCCTCCTCCCCATTCACGTCCCTGTACGTGGGCCTGATTTTGTGGACCTCATTTTGGATCTGTGAAGGATAAGTGGCCTGGGGAGAGGCAGACCCAGGGACTTTGGGCAGGTGCTGGCTCATGACTAGGGGAATTCAGCACGCAGGGACTCAGTGACCCCTCTTTCCTTTCATATTCAGTGCTAGACTGGGATCCCCGCGCACTGCTCACAAGTAGGGGAGGGCATGTCCCTCCATGGCTGTGTAGCTCACATGACTTGGGCTTCTGGGCAGTGGTCTGCATGGCCTCTCTCTAGCTATTGAGACAGTCCTTGGGACCAGGACCTTCTGAGCAGCAGGAATTAAGAGGACAGGCTTTGGAGTCAGACTCAAGTACACTTATGTCAGATTCTGGTTCTCTGCTTAGTAGCTAGCTTACTCCGTGCAGACTGCAGTAACAGAATACCATAGACTGGGTGCATTATAAACAACAGAAATTTGCTTCTCATAGTTCTGGGAGCTGAGAAATCCAAGATCAAGATTGCAGCAGATTCTGTCTTTTCACTAGAACCTCCTATGGCTCTTTTATAAAAGTACTAATCCCATTCATGAGGGCTCCGCTTTCATGAGCTAATCACCCCCAAAGGCCTCACCTCTTAATTTCCTCACATTGCTGATTAGATTTCAACATATGAACTTGGAGAGAGGTGTAAACTTTCAGTATGTAGCAGTAATTATAAGACCTTACGCTAGTTCCTTAATCACTCTGCGCCTCAGAGTCCTCATCTGTGAAATGAGAACGATAATAGTCCTGTGCTTACATTCCAGGACTGTGAGGACTCAGGGAGATAATACACGCAGCTTAGTGAGGGCCTGGCCCACCAGAAGCATTCAACAATTGGCTGGCGTTATTGTTACTATTAACAGAGGAGGACAGAGCCATCCCAAGCGAGAAGCTGAGCAGGGAGTAAGAGAGCTTGTTAACAGGTTCCTGATCCCCAGGAAGCTTTCAAGTCACAAGCAGAAAGGTGCAGGGAAAGGATAATGTGTTTGTATTTCTAAACCACAAGCTGATCCATATCTTTCCTTTTTGGCCCTAACCTGGGCTCTCAGCCCTGGCTGCTGGTGCTCAGATGTTCTAACAGGCCTGACAGCCTGAAAAAGGATGGGGAAGTGCTGCCTTGAGGCCCTGGCAGCCTGTATGTTTCCCGGAGCAGGCAGGAAATATCTGTTCATGATGTCTTTGTCCAGGGCTCCTGCCCAATTTGTAGAATGGCAGTGCCTGGTCAGCGCCTTCAGCGAGAGGCCAATGCCAGCAGCCAAGGCTCTTCAGAAGAGAGTGTCAATGCCCCACTCCCCTGCTTAGCAAAGCAAACTGAGAAGGGGGCCGGAGGGAGGCTCATACGTTGGTGAAAGTGCTGGCCCCTAGACGGCTCCTGACATTTCCCACACTGCCATTCTGCCCTCTCCTAAGCAGGGCAGGCTGGCCATGGGTCAGAGGAGAACAGAGAAGGAGGAGGTGACACACAGGAAGTAATCACTTAGGACCCAGCCTGTGGGTCCCAGGCATCCCATCGTGCACGGTCTCATCCAACCCGTGCAGCAACCTCGCATAGAGCAGAATGGAGGCTCAGAGGGGTGGGCCCAGAGGTCCCCTAATCGTACATTCAGCATGAGAACTTTTTCTCTGGCATACTCAAATGATATCAAATTCTTGATTACCTCCAGTGATGGGCACTCATCTCCTTGGTCAACCTCTGCCTCTCTCAAGCCCTGAAGGCCTACCGCAGTTCCCAAGAGTGAAAGGAACCCAGGGTTCCTTAGACTTTCTCCCTCAGAATGAGGATGGGATTTAGCTAGTAGCCATTCTGGGATGCCTGGATTCAAACCAAGTTAAACACCAGCACATTTCTGATAATATTCTAATATCACATTTTATTATAGTTCAATAGTTCAAAAGTACTGCTTGGAGCTGTGGTTTGGGCATATACAACATTTGTATTAGAAAAATAATTCACATATGCACTTGTGAGCCAGCAAAAAGTAATTTAGGATGTCAATTCTAGGTTCGACCACATAATACATTTCATTTTAACTTTGGCTTGTGGTTCATTTCAGATGCTCTGCAATCACTCTCCCTCTCCAGCCTCTAGACAGCACAACCTTCTTCCTATAGCCCGCATCAGGCCAGTGCACCAATGTCCCTGGGTAACTAACCTGTGGGCAAAGCCGCACTGTGTCCCCTCCCCTGTCACTCTCACATGGCTCCTTCAAGGAACTCAGCAGTCAGCTTCCTGGGTGGCCACAGAAGTTAGGGTTTGGCCCAGAGTCAGCCTACACTGTCCAGTGAGAGGAAAGAGACAGAATGGACTCAGGAGAAGACAGAGTGGATAAGGAGAGGAGAAAGGAGACTATGGACACACACGTGTATTGGGGAGGTGGCAGAGGGCTGGCAGCCGGTTGCCCTGGCTTCCACACCATCCTCCCACAGTACACAGGGCCAGTGACACTGCCTAGCACCATCTGCACCTTCTCCGGGGAAGCTGGGGAGATTGGGACTTGTGGTGCAGCCAGACACAGGGCAGAGGTGGGTATGGGGCTGGCGAGTCCTCCACGGATCACCTTGGCTCTGTGTGGTGGGAGCCTTACAGTAAGCTGCATAGCAATAGACTCAGGAGGCAAATGATTTATCCATAAATAGCACTGAAATAGCTAAAGAATCAATGAACAAAAATGAGTGGCAATAGTGACCTCAGTTGATAACTGAAATTTTAGGTACCCAAGAAAGGTTAAAAAAAATTCAGTCCCTGCTCTGTGACATGGCAATCTCCCAGCTGTCACTTAAAGGCAGCCATTTGGGTTCACATGTACCGAATTCCCAAGCCAAAATCACCTCAGCACTCGGCCAGCACACAGCCTTATCGAGAGGCCCACGCCAAGGACAGCAAGGTCCTCTCAACTCCTTCTTAGGGGAAGGTGGCCCCTGCCCTGCCTCCAACACAGAAACCACGCTGCATCCAAAGAAGCAAGGCAACCTGTCCCAGCCTACCCCACAAGGGAGCCCGGAGGGAGACACTGGGAATGGTCACTCTCGTTTTTGGCTAGGGCAGTGATGGGAACAAATGGGACAGTACCGGGGATGCTGAGTCTGGAACAGAAATTTAAGTGGAAGGCCCCTATTTGGGCTCCACCCTCTGTTTCAGGGTGTGGTGCTCTTGGAAGTTTTCTCTCGCCCAAGGTTCCCTACCCTGGAATCCTGAGGTCAGCGTGTTCTCAGGAGTAAGCCAGGCGGGACACAGAATTTGGGATCCTTTTAAACCCTGCTCCCCTGTCTGCACAAGAAGGGTACCCCAGGCCAATCTCGTGTCCTCGTCCACATGGGACAGGCAGGCGCAGATGCCAGGGTTAGGACTCCAGCTTGGTCCGTACAGGCTGCGTGGGTGGGCTCCCGCGGCACCTCTCAGGTGCGGGAGAGTGGGCAGGCCCCGGCGCGCACATCTGCAAGGCAAATGAAGGAATTAATCGTGCACAGCCGGCGCTCAGCCCATAATCCAGGTCGGGTCTTGGAGCCGCGGGCAGGCGGATCGCAGCGGGCGCAGCCGCTGAGTCCTGGCTGGAGGTGGTGGGGGCTGGAGCCCAGCAGTCAGGCGAGGCGCTGAGCTGGAGCCAACCCTTGGCGGAGAAGCCCCACCCCCCAGCCCCTCGGCGAATTTTCCCGGGCCTCGCGCTCGCCGCGTCCTACCTGAGGCCACACCCTGAAATCAAACTCGCGGCCAGGTGCGGCGGCGCTGCGCAAACATGCAGCGCGGCCCCTCCCGCGCTCCCGCCGAGGTCCCTCCTGCGGAGGGCGGGCCGGGACGGCGGCCTCGCGAGCGCTCCCGGGCTTCCCGCGCGG